AGTGATCAGCAATTCAGGCAACATATTTAAATTGCTTAGATAAGTAACAGTAACTATTACATCTATTAAAATAAATACAATATATTGAGCTGCAGTTTTCCCTCCTATAATGAACAGCCATTGTTTTATTGTTTATAACCCCCCAGGCCTCAAGGGTCAGTGTCCTGTAACTTTTAGATGTGCCTCTGCTTCAACGCACCTCAGTCAAATAACAAGGTTATTAGCAGGACTCTGGAGAACTTGACTGCCGTCTGAGGAGGAGATTCAGCCATTCGCATCAGGTGTGTTGGACCAGGAACTTATCAAAAAGTTGCAGTGAACCAGCCCCTGAGGCCTGGATCTGAGGACCTCTGGTCTATAATATCAATTCTTTGTCTCTGAAAACTTTTTTTTGATCTTTGCTTTGTACTATTGCTGCTCTCGTTCTTGTGCAATTTGGACAAAATGTGCTAATCGGAGAAAAATGTCTAGCTTCTAGTGTTGCTAATAATGTTTTGCGACTTTTACATCATTATGGATTAGGGTGAGGATATGTCACACCCATAATTGATTTATTTTTTATTTTTTCTGCCACATTTCTGGAAGAAGTAATCACTTCAAATATGCTTGAACAACAGCTGAGTGTTATTAATGTTTAAGTTTCACAAATAATAAAGGGAACCTGATGCTGACATGAGGTTCTGATTTCCAAAATTTAATTAGTTTAAAAGCTTTTACTTTTGGACTTGTCAAATAAGGATTTGGTTATTTTCATCTCCTCCTCTTCTAAAATAATAGTGTTAGAACTATGCACATCTGAGTGGAATGTTCATAGTTTCAGGTGTGCTAAAAAATAGTTTGAGAATCTGTGCTTCTCTGTGAGGTACAGTCTGGTCATGGACACAAACACAGAGAGGTATGCCAAGACTTTAAATCAAGTGCGATGGAGCAGGAAAATATCTTTTGCATTAAAGTAAATGGATCTGGAGGACCAGCTAAGAGAAACAGCTCGACATAGTTTTCATGCATGATAAAGTATTGGAAAATGTTCATGGTCTGCTTGTTATTTATAGCCTTCAGTAGGAAATTTCTCAAACAACCAGTGAGCATAGCAGATATGAAAACATTGCTGCTTATCTATCCACAAAATTTGACTGGATGTCTTTGATTGAAACGGTCCATCTCAGTGTTGCTACAGCAGTGTTTTTATAATCATGAAATAGCTGTTTTGTTCTGCATAATTGGTTTGGTAAGTGGCTTACAGGGACATGCGGAAAGGACTGGGTCAGATAATGCTCTCCTCACAAAGGCCACCAATGACTCCAGAGAAAGAAAAAAAAAGTTTTATACTTGTATGTAAGAAGGACAGCTACCACATAAAGTAAGATATACATCATCTATGCTTTATTTTGACCATTATTATGCCCACTAAGAATAGTGAGTATTTATATTGCAAGAATTTTGAATGCATGTCTGAGACTTCTTCAGAAAGTAATCTGTAATTAATTGTGAAATAGGCCTTTTCAGTGGGGGACCATAGAAAACAAGATTGAAATGTCTGAGAAACACTGAGTCAATATTTCTTTTTTGTGTGTATTGATTAATAGACACATAATCTCAGTTTAACTTTGCTTTTTGGATGGGTTGAGAACGGAATCCTTTTGTTTCCATTGTTATGTTCCCTGAAATCTACTTTAGCCTGTAGGGATGAAAAGCTTCTCCTGGACATCCTCGGGTTTTACAGTTCTGCAGCGGCTGAGGTTGCAGTTCGATTTTTAAGCATTCAGTGCAGATCTTTGAACGGGATCTCACCCAGTGGATCAGAAGGTTCGTTTACATGGCCAAAAACCATATTTTACAAGATAAACGTGATCATTACTAAAGGTGAAATTCAAACTGCACAAAATATTAACTTGATGAAATTTCAGTTGGGATAGTATTTAAAAAAAAAAAAATTCCCACTTCAATACTTTCACTATCATCAATATAAATAGTGCTTGGTCTGTATGTACGTAGATTTTTAGAGGAATCTTTAACGAAAGAACTTATCCATTTTGTTTATTTACTGGGCTTTCTGCACAAACTGTACCATCCTTTGTGCTTCATGTCTGGAAATTTGACTTATTTTAATTTACAGTGTGCTTTGTACTACATTGCTCACTGTGAAAATCAAAGGCCTGCACTACAAAGTAGAAATAGTACCTTTCTGATGTATCTTAAAGTTCCACTGTGGATTTTTAGTGTCACTAAACTGGTTCAGAGCGATGTTGGATGATTAATTTAAAGTCTGTTGTCACTGAAGATTTGAAACGTTTGTTCATTTAATATTTTTGTTCAAAACCATGAAATATTTCCTTGGCATTTTATCACATGAGCCCACAGCAAACAGCTTGACAAACTGCCTGTAATTACACTCACCTGTATTTCTGTGGATATCTTCTAGCAAATACTGAAATAATTCAAATGTTCCCTTGCATTTTTTTGAGGTTCTTAACATTTGCATGAAAGGAACTTGAATATAAATCTCTTTAACATAAAAAAACAAACTGTTAATTTTTATGTATATTTATTAGAAAATAATATTATACATATATCACCAAGATCTGGCAAAAACACACTTAATTGCATCTCAAAAAAACACCTTGAACACATTCAGTTGAAAATAAAATAAAATGTGCAATCTGTGAAGGTATCCATTGATAATGAGACAGTAAGGCTTTAATAATTTTGGTAGCTTTGTGTCCAAATAATTTAGTTTTAGCCTTCTGTCAGAAGAAAATTATTCAGGCAGTCTTGGTTTTTGTCGAGGTCCAATCAGCTGTTCATGGTATTTTTCGTGAGGAAAGGTTGCGTATTTCCCATGTTAGCTCTTTCTGATTGTACAGGCATGCACTTTTAAAATCAGCAGCAGCAAAAGCCTGTGGCAGGTCACTTGATTACATTTCACTAGAACTCCTTTCGGCATCTTGGGTTCTGCTTTTTGGAAAAAACCTACTTGGGCAGCCAGATCTGGATGTGTTGTCAGTTTTTTTTTTTTTTTTTTTTTTTAGTGTCCTCCACTAGTAAGCCACATTATGTACAATTTATTGTCATATTCGACTCTTGTAACACCTCTACAAATCCCTTACCAAGCTCAAAAACTGCTGCGTCATTCTCCTTAGTCAGCTTTTTCAATCTCATGACCAAATCAAACTGAGCGTCAGAAATTTTAACAGGACAATACTCTTAAAACATTTAAAATGAAGAGGAATTATATCCTTATGGTTAGCACCTGATGTTATGCTAATTTAAATGGAGGAAAAATATAATTTGACCTGAAATTGAGGTTTTATCTCAAAGGCAGGAGCAAAACTGGTCATAGCAACATAATTAAGGTAAAGGGGACATGGAATAAGAAGGAAAGAAATTGAAACAGTGGAGTCATCTTTTTTCATCATAAAGTCTGAAAACTCAACACCAGTCATTTATTGTGACACACAAGAAATTCAATTTTGCAGTTGTGTGTTCTTGTTAAAGTCGGAGCTGTTTAATTTCAAAGAGCAAAAAATGTCATGAAAAAAAACAATGAAGCTTTGAACTATTGATTCTTTTCTCTGCCTTTGAGATGCTTTACTTTGAGAGCTAGTCAGACTGCTGCATAATTTGAAACTGATATGAAAAGTATTTTTGTTGGCTCTTCAAAGCCAAGTGCATTATCATTCATAATTAGGAGATTTATTTTGAAAAATCTCTCCTGTCATAAATATCTTGATATTCGGAAAGCCATATGCGAGAATGCTATCTAAAAAAAAGAAAGGAGAGTCTTGAAAACACGTATGAATTTTTGCTAATTAGCTAAATAGTTGTAGTTGTGGAAAGACATTTGGTTGTGTTCAAATAACTATATATATTCATTCATAATGTTAACCACACCCAACCTACTTTGAAAAAAAAAAAAAGCATTTCATAGACCTTCAATTTAAATGTAACTACTTATCATCTGTTTAATTTCCTGTTAACCCAAATGATTAATCAGGAATCAAGTGGCTACATCTAAATCTGGTTGAGTTGAGGTCACATTCAAACTGAGCATCAGAATTAGGAGCAAAGAGAATTGAAGTACTTTGAACATGTCATGGTTGATGGACCCTAAAATGGCAGTCTAAGACTTTCAGAAACTGCTGGTCCTCTGGGATTTTTCTGCACAGCCATATCTGAGGTTTACAGAAAATGGTCCAGAAACAGAGTAGATATCCTTGAGTGGCTGGTGTACGTCAGTTGTCAAAGCACGTTTGGCAGAATGGTTGGAATCGACCATTTGTTAAAACCATTTGTGCAGAATACCTTCTCTGAACCAATCAGAGACGAAGACCCCACCGGTTAGCAGTTCTGTCACCTACAACCTGAAATCTTCGGAAACAAATCTCACAAGCTCCCAAAATATAAAAATGCAACATGATCGGATTTCTCTAAATTTGATCTGCTCTGTATGATTGCACATTTTATTTTATTTTCAACTGAATGTGTTCAAGGTGTTTTTTTAGATGCAATTAAGTGTGTTTTTGCCAGATCTTGGTGTGAACATGAAATCATTGATTCATCTTGCCTGCATCAACAGTTCATTGATAGTGAAATGGCTACTGGGGATATTTTATTGGCACAGTTTTGGACTAATTGAGCATTTTTAAACTCCTCAATCTTCCTGAGTGTTGTTATTCAGCATGTATATCCCTTTCACTCTACTCCAATGGCCTTTATAGCCATAAGATTTTAATTCAATTCAGCGCCTTTGGGATGTGGCAGAACAAAAGACTTGGATCATAGTTGTCTGGTCAAAATCCCTGAGGACTGTGAGCGGTACATTCTTGAAAGGCTTTAATAATTGCACCCCAAAATTATGTATTTTGTCTGCCATTTGTCACTTTACCTTTGCTGTAGCTTCCTTTTGCAGAATAGTTGAATGAATGTAGTGCACTCACAATGTCTCTGCTGTGTTGCGGAATAATGTATTGAAGTATTACCTAGAATTTTGTGATTCACAGGACATCTTGAACAACCTGGACCCTCTGGGAACTGGAGATTTGGACGATAATGATCTCATGCTGGATGTGGACCTCCCAGAGGATAGCTTGCATGGTCAGCACACTCACACATACACGCACACACACAAATACTCTTCCCGGTGTTATTTTGTTTACGCCACATAAGGCCATGATGAATACTTAAGTTTCTGTTGCTGGAGGTTGTCCATTATTTTTGTATAAGCGCAAACCTCCAGCAAACTGTCTTATCATAAATGTAAATTAATGCACTACCAAGCCCTGTGCTTTCCATTTCCAGTAGTTCTTCTGTGGGATATAATGGTTTGAATAAATTGAATCCTGCTTTGCCTTGGGTGCATACTTGCCATTGCAACATCCATTAAAGAAGTTTAATAGATGCCTTGTTGTGTATTTCGTCCTATTACTCTTTAAATATTTGTCCTTTTTTTTATAGAATTGTTAAATGACAAGTCCAGACTTTGACTGGATGCTCCTCCGCTAACTTGGAACAGTTTTTCTACCCAGCTGTCTGCCTTTGTTTTATGAACAGATGCACACAGATGTGCATGATTGACAATTTCTGTTGCGTGAGAACCAGAGTGCGCGCATATAGAAGCGGCTCAAACATATGTTTCCCCTGACGGCAGCGGTTCGATGTTAGCGTGATTGCTTTAATAGCTTAATATCCGCACCTCACATCACCAGCTTCCACTTTGATATCGCATCTGTCAAAGTGTCCTAAGTTTTCCTATTTTCACTCGTCAAATACAAACACATAGACAGCAATCTCATTAAGACAGAATAAATGTTGTTTTTGTGGGTGGTAAAGGTAATCAGGTCATAGTATTACTACATAATAACAGTGCTGACATCATTATGCCCCTTTCAGGTTGTGTTGCATTATGTTATTTTGGTAGCGTGAAAAGAAGGGTCGAGGATTGACCTTTTCCCGTCATGAAATATAATGAATTCTTGGAAATGAATTTTCCCTTGTCATTCTTGAAGCCAGGCAATTCATTTCTAATGGGTTTAATGCAATAGTTCGCCGTGAATGCACTCACTAGGCTCGGTTTGTTCAAACAAGGCTCCCTTTAGGCGCTATGAAATTTAATCTGTTTGCATGGATGTCTGTTTGCTGTCGTGTGCGTATGAGCGTGTAACGGGGCATCTGGACACCAATGGCTGCTTATTACAAAAACTAAGGAAATAATGAGGTGGAGCATTGTGTTTTAAAGCCGGTTTTTATCATGTCACGAAAAAAGGTGACATGCAGGTTTTATTGCTTTTTGTATGCATTTCGTTTTGTTGAGATTTTCTTATTGCGTCAGGAAACTTTCTATTTTCTCTTTACTTTTTAGAAGATTCCATAGACCTGAAATTCTCCAAATCTTGTCACATTACAGTTACAGATTTCTGTGAATTTGCTGGTATGTTATGTGATAGACCAACACAAGATAGTTTCTAATTGTAATATGGCAGGAAAGGTAAAAATTAAAAATGGCAATGAACAGCCCAGACACCCACAGTGAGGCATGGTGTTGGTAGCATCATTCTGTGGTGCTGGTAAAGAGATATCACCAAAAAGGCCATTCTTTTAAAGTGATTCTATCCAGTGACTGCAGGAATGAATGCAAATGCAAGACATACTTTGTATTATATTTTTTATGTTAATATTTTTTACTACTTTGGGCTTTCCGTTTAAAAAAATACCATTAAAATACAGTGAAAGTAATTTTTATTACGGGACAAAATGTTGAAAGTTCAAGGGAAATGAGTAATTCTTTGTGTACACTTAAAACATTTTAGAACCTGGAAAAAATACACACCTTGACACCAAATAAACTGGCTCACTTACTTTGTATTTATTTTGACAGTGTATATATTTTTTGCCATATTAAAGTTAAAATGCTAAAAACTGCAATTCATCCTTTGCTATATAACAACAGCAAGGCTATTTTTTCCTTTGGTTCCAACAGCAGCTATAACAAGACAAGTATTAGTGTTAACCAAAAATGAGCATGAAGTGAACTGAGCTAGCTTTTCAAATGGCTTCAACAGAAACCTGGAAAACAACTAGCAAACTTTCAGTCGGATGTGGAGTATGTAAGCAGTCATCTCCCTGTTTTTGAGAGCAGGAGGTGGTGAGAGGGAAGGGAATGTTCACACTGTAGGAATGTAAATTGGAGCGTCATCCCTTCCTACTCCTTTGCGGGCAGCAGCCATATTTATAGCTCTTACGTGTCACGGGTAGAGTTTGTGTCACGAGAGGCGAGGCAACGGAAGCGCACGCTGAGGAGTTCAGTTAACTCCAGCCCGTGCGGGGCAGGCCGTGCGATGTGGCATGGGGAAGGGAGTTTCTTCTAAAGACCCTGACACATAACAGGAAAAGGAAAAGTAGAAAGGGAAAAGAAGAGAACTTGTGTAATGTCCTCATCCAGCTGTCAGGATCCTTGAAAGGAGAGAGGCCACAGCTTTGCTCTCTCCCAGCTGGCGACTTCCTTCGCTTGGACACAAACCAGTCACCTCCCCTGCTCTCCCCAGCACCACCACAGCTGACTCTCTCTCCTCTACCAGCTCCAGTTCCTAGGGAGTTCCCAGAAAAACAAGGCCATCAACAAAGACGGGGGTCAGACAGCCCAGGAGCCGGGCTGACTTTTTCCCCCCGGCCTTTTGACAAATCATCAGCTAACTGGGTTGTTGATTTGAGAATCGCAGGATTTCGATTCTCTCCAGTCTGTTCCTGACTTTGTCTACGTTCATGGATTTTTTTTTCTTTTATTCAGTTTATATTTCTTCCTGAAGGTATTTATTTGAGCTGTAAGGAATCATTGGAGGCTCCTTAGTTCCTAGGAATGTGACGGCTGCATATCAGACCGGCTGTCTGCTTCTGCGCTATGTGGTGACACTCTGGGTAAAGTATGCGGAACATGGCTGCTGAATTTCTTTGAATGAGGTTTGCTGTCTTTATTTTCTTTGAGCGTTTTGCGCATAAAAGCCGAAGGTCATTTTGGTTTGCTGGGAAGCATGCTTTCTCAGTTGACATCTTTATTGACATAGCTTAAGATATGATTATGTAAGTGTTGCTGAATACGGAGTCGTTTGGAGTTTCTTTTCAAAGAAGAGAAAGGAGAAGTACTTTCTTAAACTTGAATTCAGCTTTTTCCCCAAGTATAACTGCATCACACTTTTTTTTCCCTCTCTCTTGTCTCTTTGGCACATTACTGATGTCTCACCCATGCTCCACATTCTTTCTCTACAGACTTTGACAGCATGTCTCTCACAGAGGGCTCAGACAGAGGTAGCCGACAGGGGCAGCGACGCAAGCAGCACCGCTGGAGTGGCCCCGATCACTTCTTCCATGACAGCAGGTTGGTCAGGCTTCCAAAAAAAGAGAGAAGTGAACAATAAAATCAAAGTAACCTAACAAATAACACAGCAAAGCGAATAACGTGACTTTTTTCCCCTCTTTCTTTCAGGCTTCATTTCTTTAGTAATTATGACAATCACAAGACTTCCCGGTTTCCTTCTCGTCCCATCCAGTCTGATGGCAAGCAGCCAGTCTATAAACCAGTGTTGGATGAACTCGCAATGAAGCACATGACACAGGACTGCAGCGTGCTGAGGACTCAACTTCTCAGGCTCAAAACGTTGCTTCAGGTTAGACCCACATTTGCCGACCACCTTAAAAACGTACCTGTTTAGCAACTGAAAGATCTCCGTTTGCTTATGTTGTCGTTCTGTAGAAAGAAAATAGTTCTAAGTCAGTTATTTTAGCCACAGTCGCACAAACATCGATTTGTGACACACTGATCAGAATCCTGGTGTTGGTCTTCGTTTTTCTAGACTTAATTTCGTCACATTCAGATTTGTTTTCAAAATATAACAGGGCATATAAAATGCTTTAACATAAACATCACAGAAAGTAAGGGATTTTATCTTTGGACAATTATTTTTTCAGTGTCGTGAGATTGGTTCTTAGCATTGACATCTCAAGACAATAAAATCTGTTCTAAGAATGAAGATTTGAGGTGAAATGGTTGCAGAATCCTGTCACAATATCTGCCTGCTTTGAGATTGCCTTTATTTATGATTTCTAGTGAGAGAGATGCCATCTTACCACCTCCACAAAAACACAAAGAAGCCAAACAAACATTTCCTTACTTTTTGTGCTAATTATAAATGTATTTTCTTGCTCTTTCCTGCTGTTAGCACTCATTAGTTTTTAGTATTAGTAGCAGGGGTGATGTGTATGACAGATAAGGAGCTGTGAAAAAAGGTTTTTCTATTATTTATAGCAAAAACAAGATTATTACAGAGTTGATATGTTTTTGCTTCGTTTAGTATCGTATACAAATACAGTCATTGGTATTCATAACACTGCTATTTGTGTATTCTTATGTTAACAGTGGTACTTTTTAATGGCTGCCAACATTTTCCCTGATGGAGGTTTTTATCAAAAAGATAAAACAGACCGACGTCATTATAATTATTTTAGCCTTCTCGTTATCTGTGTCACGGCTCACTCTCTCTTGCTCTCTTGCAACCCGAATTAACTGCAGACATGTCATCGTTCCTTGGTGATGCTGGTGAAGAGATACATCGCAAAAAAACTTTAATCCTGAGGTGGTTCCACCCAAAGGCAATTTTGGAGGGATGAACAAAAATGCAAGATACGCCTGAAAAACTTTATACAATGTCGTTTTATGTCAAAAACTTTGGGTTTTGCCCTTTAAAAATAACATTTAAAAACAGTGAGATTAGTTTTAGATATATTTTTTTATGTGACACAATGTTGAAAAGTTCAAGGGACACGAATAACTAATTTAATGACAAAAGCCCTAGAGTGTGGTTGGAAGCTTTTTTTTTTAATACAACTGAATTATTTAAGAATCTGGTACAAATCAGATGATATGCACTTTTAAACCATAAAACTGTACAAAACAGTACATTTTTTGGACCATATTTGAGTCAAAAACTGTAATTCTTCCTTTCGTACATGACATAAACAAGGCAATATTTTTTCTCGGGTACCAACAGCAGCTAAATCAGACAAGGTAAAATTTTAGAGCTGACCAAAAAATGAGCATGGAAAGAAATTAACTATTTTTCTAAATGGCTTCAACAAATTAACTACAGACATGTCTCAACATATTACAAGAAAAACTTTCTAAATAACTTCTTATATCTCTACACTTATTTTGACTTCAGTTTTAAACACTCCAGTCCAAATAGCAATAGTAGTTGTTGACTTGGAGGTGCTTGCTGGTGCTTTCACTTATCAGAAAAAAGTTTTGACTTTTGAGATTTCCCAGTTCATCTAAAACATTGATATTTACATTTGCTTTTAATATCTGTTTGCTGTGTTTCCTTTATCTCACTGCAGAGAAAGTCAAACCCTTCGATTGCATTGCCTCAGGTGCAAAAATGTTTCCTTCACCATTAACAAACTCTCATCATGTTTTTTTTATTCTCTCTTTCTTTTCCTACTTCTTTGAGCTCAAGGCATACACTGTGCAGCAAGCCTCCTCTTGCTGAATCTAAATTTATCTTTTGCACATTGCTCTGAAATTCAGTTATTTCAGCTTTGCCGTGATTTAGCTGCACAATTCCAGCGTAACGTTAATGAGCGCCAGACTTAACTTGCTCTCCCAGCTGAGTGACAGAACGATAAAGATCGAACACCTTTTGTGACAGAATTAGATATGGCATTTGACTCCTTACATTTCCACTTTGAATAACTGTAACTGACATTTTGTCTTAAATTTTTGACAAGCTTTTTTTTTTTTTACATTTTGACAACAAGCGACGACTATTACTGGAGCATGAACCTCTCAAACAAGCAAACAAAAAATGTGTTCGGAGTTGTCAGCAGAAACATCCTCAAAATCTGCTGCTAAGCTTGCTGAGGCGAGGACAGCTTCTGGATTCGATAAAATAAATATGTTGAATATTCGATCCCGTACTGTGCCTTTGGTTTGTTGCACCTGTGGCTGGCAGATCAGGGTCAGAGGAGAATCTGTGCGGAAGAATGAGGTTCTTTCACAGCTCTGAAATATTGCTTTTGAGGCATGCCTGAGGCAATTGATTCAGCTCACTTTGTTCTCCGCATTTGTTTGTTTGCCCCCCTCTGTGTGTGCGTGTTTCTTCTGTTTCAAGCTTGAAGACACAGGGTCTCCAGCAGATGTATGTGAGCAGACTGAAGACAATACCACTGGTGAGGTAAAGAAATTTGAGGTTTTGCAATGTTTCTGCACCAAATACAAATCAATGCACAACGTTTTCCCCTATTTAATGTTGTCTGCTAGTAGTACAGCGTGCTGTATATGTTTGTGCTTTCAGATGGAGGCCCTGATTAAGGAAGTGCAGGTGCTCAGGGAGGAGCTGAGGGGTAGAGACAAGACTATAGCTCTGCTCACTCTGCAGTGCCAACAACTACAACACCATCAGCAGCAGCAGCGCGATCAAATGGTGAGCGGATCACAATTCCAGAGGAATGTCTATTGATACAAGTGAAAAGTCACAATGTGCTAAATTGTTAAAATACTCATGATGTAGTGGATAGGTGTTGTTGTTCTGCTTTATGCTATACACTCAAATAAAAAAAGAAAATCTTATTTTTAGGCTGGAATAATGTCTAAAACTAAATAGCCAGAATGTTTGAGGAAATTGTACACAGCTTCCTAATCCAATAAAAAATCGAAGGTGTGATGGACTTCATCTTTCAGTAGTTAAGATGGAGAGAAGAGCATGGGAACAAAGTGCAACAATCTTTATCAAAAATTGTGGAAAATCTGGAGAGATATTTGACATGACGACTATTATTATGAAATTGTTTACAGAATCAATTATGAATATAGCAGTTTGGCAGTTTTGTCTCATTTTCTGCCACATGACCCCGTCACCGTGTTTCGCATCAGTATATGTTCGAGGCAGTAAGATTTCTGTGTGTTGGCAGAAAAGCTGTTTGGTTTGCTATGCTAACTATCTTCTGGGAAATTTCTTGAGACTTTTGTTTAACAATGGTTTTCTTGTTACGCCGCCATTCAGAAAATATTTGCAGAAAGCAGTTTTTTGTCAGACCTCCAAAGTTACAATAAGCCTTCTGTCTGCTTCCTCTTGTCTGCCCTGTCAATTTATGTGAATACCATGCTTTGCTAAGTGTGTTAAGTGTGCACACAATTCAATTTTCTGTCAATTTTTTTGATAATTGACAGAGAATTGCTTTATGAGATATTCAAAGCTTGGCATATTGATTTATAACCTCACCCTGCTTTAAACTTCACAAATTGTTGACTAATGTCCTCTAGAAAACATCTGAGGCCTTTACAGAACAGCTGGATTTCACTGAGGTCAAATCACACAAAAATAGACTCTGTTTCCAGATTAAGTCATGTGTGAAAGAAAGTTAGCATCAGAACGCTGCTTATTTTTTAAAGATATTGGAGTTAGGATGTGGGAAAGCAAATGGCTTTCACATTTTTCAAAATTTTGTTTGTAAAAAATAATTTTAAAAAGTAAAACCCATTTTCTTTTCTTGTTATGGTTTACTTGACTCTGCCGTTTGCATTGGCCTACCACATAAAATGCATAAAGTTTTTTGGCTGAATGTAAAGAAGGTGAAACTAATCATTTTGATAGATATTCCGATATTTCTTTTTCAGTGATCTATTAACAGTTATAAAAATATCACCCCTTCCTTCTGATTTGTGAAAATAATTAGCTGTAAAATGACCTGTAATTGACTGTGTTTTTTGTGCAAATCAACATTTATAAACATTATACATTACCTCTGTATGACTGACTATTTTATTTTTATGGGAAGTGGAAAAAAAAGATTTTGAAAACATATGTGCTTTTAATGTCATTAGAACACAAATACTGTAGTTCACGTGCTGCAAGCACTTAGTTCCTCTTTCAGCTGTTCAATTCCTTCCTATTAGTGTGTCTTTGAGATCTGTGTCAATGAAATGCTCCTCGTCAGCACAGTTTATGCTGCTTGGTTTGTGCAGAAGGAGCATATTACAGACAATACTTTGGGAACACCATCCAGAATGACAGCACTGCTGCTAAGCTGCCAAATGGATAGAGAAGTCACGCAGTGACAGTATTCATTGTCTGTGTGGGGAATTAAATTGATGGCTATTTTGCTCTAGCCCTACATGCACTGTTGCTCAAGCCTTCAAACAACATCTCTTCTGTTTGATTTTGACTGGCTTCATTTCCACTCTAACATTCATTAGTGTTCTCTCGTTAGCCAAAAAAAAAAAAAAAAACAGAAAAGAAAAATCATCATATGCATGGCTGGCATTATTCAAATCACTGCCACAGTGAGAAATACCAAAATGTCAAAGCAGGACCTATCCACCAGCTTATCTGTGACATGCTGTCTGGCCAATTAGGATTAACAACCACCCAAAGCTCTTCAGTCTGCACAATATTGTTACACCCTTAACTTCCAACAATCAAAGAGACAAATGAACACTTTTTTTTTGCTCTCTGGCTGGCTTTAATGAGTTTAAAAGTTGTGAGAGTGAAAGTGTGTGTTCAAAGGAGAAAACAAAGGAAAATTCACTTTACTAACTCACTCTTGAAGCTTCTTTTCCTGAGGGAATCAAAACTTGGGAGAAAAATCAGATGATGAGGTGTGTGTGTTTTTTTTTTTTTTTTTTTTTTTTCTACTCTGATTTCTTTACATGTAGAGACAGACTTCTGAACAGAAGGGCAAAAAGAACCAATCAACAGGGTGAAAGAGTTTTAGGGTCCAGGCCGAGTGAGAGAAACTAGCAATTCCAGCAGGATTGTTTTTGAGTCCATGAAGGCTGCTGGTTCAACTTGAATTAGTGAGTCAATGTCTGAGTGTTTGTTCCTGAAATTGGTGTGCTGTTTGAAACTGTTAAGAGGCTGAAGCTGGTAACAGCTGACTGAATGCAACATAATGGAGAAAGAAAAGAAAAAAAAATGGAGGTGTGCATTACAGCAAGATGTCTTTTTTTTCCATGTGTGTACTTGGAGGGCTGAGATTGAAAATGTGAGAGAAAAGCAAAGCTATTAGAAACTGAAAAATGCTATTAAAGTCCCACTTGACCGAAAGGAGCCTCGGGTTTAGCCAGTGGTTCCCCCAATCTTTTAGTTATTATATCTAAATTATCATGTAATCGGTTTTCTCTGAACCTGGGATGGCTCACGTTAAATTTCCAATCCTGTCCTTAAATTTCTATCAAAGCTTAAATAATCTGCTGACTCCTGGTTTTCTTCTACAGTAAGCTGATTCTGTATCTGAAGTCTGAAATAGTATCTCATAACTCCATAAATGTATTCTGATGCATGTTAGAAAAATATATCAATCAAATTAAATCAATGCATTTTTATTCTAGTGTGTGATAGGGTGTAATGAAATGAAGCCTGTTTCTGGGATCAATTACAGTTTGGTGCGATAAAACATATGATTTATGTAAAATATAAATGCAAAAAAATAGACAAATTTCTAAAATGAATATCATTATGTAACATACATAATCTTAGCAGTAGTTTGTTATTATACATTGATGGAAAGGTTGTCATGGGTCTCTGACAAATGTTAATGTTCGAAAGCGATCATCTGTTGTATTGTTATACTTTTTATCTTTGAAATACACGCTTTAAAAAGCTATTATCAACCAAAGAAAATGTATTAATATCTCAACTGAGTGTAAATAATGGCTCACTTTGGTTTGAAATGAGCTTAAGCAACATTTATCTCCAGCCAGTGTTCATTTTTCATCTACATCGTTACTTGATAAACAACTACACTTGCTGTTTCTCGGCATATATCAATGTTTCATGGTGTGCTTGCTATTTATATTGCCTGCTGGAAGCTTGCATAGTTGGATCATCTGCTTATGTTAATTTTGGGCTTTTAAATGATGCAATTTAACAGTTCTTTCTCTAGAAATAATACTTCAAATCAATTTGAAGTATTATTCAAATTTATTGAATAAGGCACAAGCTTGAGTTCAATACAGTTTTTAGCTAACCCATGCAGGTTTACAATGGGGTCAAATAAAAACATACACACCCAACCTTTCTGCATTGGTCATGGCATAATTCTGGCTGGATATTCAACTCTTACACGTATTAGAAGTGTTTCGTTTTAAGTGGTTAGCCTCCAGGCATTGACCAGCTTTTTAAGAACCGTTCATAAAATTTAAATTGTATTAAAATCAGGGTGTTTATTTGAGAAGCCTTTGTGTTTGAGATTATTGTTCTATTGAAAAACCTGGCAAACTTTTAACTATCTGACCCAAACCATTACACTCGGCTGAAAAGAAATAAATGATGAGAAGCAACTCAAAGCTCACTGTGGCTCAGCTCATCAGGAGCTTGAAGATGCTGGAACAAAAACCACTCTCCACTGCGAAGGGAGCCATTAGCGAATTATGACATAGACGGGGACCCAATCGTCACCTTCAAACATGTCTGAAATCGGCAGCTATCCTTTGTGGACAAGCTGAAGGCCTTTATGGTCTGATGAGACAAAGATGGAGGGGCATTTTCAAAAGTTTTTTTGAAGTATTCAATGTGAGGTTTTCAAACCTAAGGAAACTGTACCAACACTCAGGCATGGAAATGGCAGCAGCAAGATCAGGAAATTCAATATTTTTCAACTCAAAGCAACTGCTAGATTGATCAAAATTGGACACAGCAGAGTTTTTCAACAAGACGATAACCTAAGAAATAGTTTTAAGATAAAGATGTGTGGAATATCCTTGATGCCAGACTTTATGTTTTGATAGTAGACGGATGTTGAAAAATTGAACCAGAATCATGCCAGTACACACTTATAACTACAAAGCATGTACCTTCAGTGCCACTTGCCACATGACATTGACATGCATTTATACATTTCAGTCTGAATGCATACTTTAGAACCTTTGTATATTAGTATAAACCAAAGTGTATCATGTTTCTAGTCTTTTACAATTTGAGCACAACTTTCTTTATTTTCCTCCCTGCGTTTTAGCCCAATGAAGGTCAGCAAGTTAGATGTCAGTGCCGCCATCGGAGGACGTCCACTTCATTACAACACAACGAAAGACAGACGGACACACGGATGCAGCAGTACAACAAAGCTACCCAGACGTATTGGAGAACGCCGAGCCAATCTGTAAGTCCAACTATTGTTCAGTTTAATTCTTCATCGCGGAAAGTTGAATTTGAAACAAAATTAAGTCGCTTCGTGTGGATAAAGGCTCAATAAATGCTATTTTAGCAAGTATTTGAAAACACTGCTGCAATTATTATCAACAAATTATTATGTAAAAAAAAAAAAAAAAGAAAAAGCATCTCCCCTCCAATTTACAGTGGTAAGCAAACTGGTGACTGACTGCAACCATGCAGCGCGTTAATCAGTTGAGTGCCTCTCCAGTCACCCACCACTGGAAAGAGCTGCCAGGGAGGTAAATCACTGTGCTGGGTCTCCCCTCCCCTGTTTATTAAACTGTCTGTTTGTTTGGCACAGTGTCTCTTACTGTAAAGACATCCAGATCCAGTTCAACTTGAGGTGCAATGTTAATGTTTGAGTGATAAACAAAGACAGCGGGGAACATTGGAATGGCATTAGAGGGAAACCAGAAAAAAATGTTTATGTACGTGTTTTCCGTTTGCAGTGTTTCGCTCAGCGGCTCACGGGGTTTCAGCCAGTTATTGATTTTGCAGCATGAGAGCCACATGCAGCATGATTAGCAAACAGTACACAGCTAACACAGAACCATGTTATGTTTACATTTTATATTTAAGGACAATAATGATTTAAAAGGGAAAATTACCTTATTTGTTTTTTTCATTGCAATGCACTATTAGAGCTATTCTCTGAGGTGGGAAAATCTATGTCTTGATTTACTACATGTAGACACAAGCTATATAACCATCTACATTACAAAGTAATCTTGATAGCAATAGAGGATTATGGCTTAAAAGTTTCCATGGCAACTATTAAAGCAGGGCTCTATGCTCAATGATAATCATCTCTGTCGTGAGAGCATTTGTGTCTGACCTGCGCGACTCAATAAAACACAAAACGTATTCAACATGTTCTTTGCCAAAGCTTACTACTGCTTTGAAAAGAAAAACCTTTTGGAATGTTGCAGCAAGTAAAAAGAAAAGAGACTACTGACTAAAAACAAGCAGTAATAGGTGATCTGTACCAGGTCTCTGCATTTCACAAATATCAGAATCAATATTGGCTTCGGTATTCCTCCCAGAACTGAACTCGTTTTGATATTATTTAACAACTTTTTTTTTTTTTACTTTGCAAAACCAAATTTTTTTTTGGCTTCTCGTTTTGCTTTTGTACGATGTTGAATGCCATGTTAAAAAAAAAAAAAGAGGAAATAAAAGACCAGTATCTTGTTTATGCATTTGCACTTTAATCATAGACCTAAAACTAAAATTATTTTTCTATCAGGCATAATCTCACAGTGCAGCATTAAGGAAAAAAATTAAACTCTCAATGGGAGTTAAATGAAGAAGTGAAAAAAAGAATTGAACAAAAACACTTGAGGTGGAATTATGTGTTCGCTTAGCATTCCCTTTAAAAATAAATGCACCTCATGTGTATTTTATTTAAACTGACATTTCATAATTAGTCACAATTCCTACAAAGTACTGCTTTTGTAACTGGGTAATTTTCAGTTACCCTTTAATTTGAAAATGGTGTGAAACAAATCTCATTTAACGTTCAGTACAGACATCAAGCAGGATGATAAACAAAATATGAAGAGTCTGTCATTTTTGAAAATTGCCACAGAGTCCAGTTGCTTGGGAGGAATTAATATATATATAAAAAAAAAACAATTTTCTGCTCATATGTAGCAAGATTAAACCAGTAAGGACTGTTTAATGCTACTGAGACTTTAAAAAATTATAGAAAAAAGTTATGAAGTTATGAATCATGTTCTTCAGTCAAGCAAAACTAAGATTGACCAACAGTGCCAATAAATTTGCCAGTAAAGATTTTGGTGTAATACAGAAAAATTAGGTTACTTTTTTTTTTTCAACATTTTTTGAAAGTGAGAGTATATTATTCCAATTAAATGTGGTGTTATTTTGTACCTTTATTTACCCATAGAGTTGTCAGCTGTGTTGTACATGTCTGTATCTGTCCTATCAGTGTTGAGAGGTTCAAATGCACACTGAGATTTCTGGAATCCCTGAATTCAACTGGCATCTTTGCAGTAAATCCTTTTGCCTCTGTATCTTGTGTCATGGGGTCTCTGTAAATTGCGCTCCCTTTCCATTGATATTATCTGGGCCCGATGGATATCTGGAGAATTTAGAGGCTTGGTGCACCTCAGGCTCTTTGTTGACTCTTCCTAAACGGTTTTTCACAGCCTCCACTGCTCTCCTGGAGAGAGAGGTGTTTGGTTCTGCAGGAGAAATGGTAATTTGGTGGCAGGGAAACATACATGTAAATACATTACAAGCAGATGCCTTCGAATGGTCTTGACAACAAGACAGGTCACCTGTATGTTTTAATATGTTAGCTGATATTTCCACATAGTTCAGTTCATTTCCATGAAAGTAACATGTCAAGTGTTTAGCCAGAATTGTAATTTCTAACAGAACTGCATACTTTTATGCAGCAGCAGGTTTTTTATTTATTTATTTTTTCAAAACACACAAATGTCCCAGGACTGACAGAATGCCACAGAGGCAGACAAGGAGAGGTGTTTAATTTCTATTTAAAATAGAGTAGTCATTAAATTTGTCTAGCGAGACGACAATAGAACTCAAAAGCCCTGTATCTTGGTGTTATTTGTGCGCCTTGAATTATGCAGTTGTACAGCTCATCTTTAAGAGACCATGTGTGAGTAATTAAGTGTTTCTGGGTTTTTGTCCAGCTCACTCTGCTGTATAGAATATTCTTGTCAATATCAGCTGAAACAGGCTTTTATTTAGGCTTCTAATACATTTCTGAAATCTTGCAGAGAAAGCTGTCGAAGCAAGTACATACCAATTTAAACTTAGAAGACTCATAGCCATTTAGACATTGTTTACATGCCTTTTCAACAATATAACAAGCACACTGGAAGCACTATAAGCTAACATAGCCCATAACATGAAGACCTCGCACTAGACCTCAAGCTGCTTGGATTCGTTGGCTTCTTCACTTTTCCTCCAGACTCTGGATTACCTTTTTCTAAAAGGAGGAACAATAGTCAAGTCCTTTTTTCTCCTCAATCCAGATGGCACTCGTGAGTTTTTCAGAAGTCTTTTATTTAGGAGCGGGTTAACTCTGTGAAAGTTGTTGAGTCATTTCTCTGACAACCGTCCAAGACTTGTGAATATCCCCCAAAAGTCTTGAATGGGCTTTGTTTCGCAGTCGGCTGTGGCTGTCCCTTCGGCTTGAGTAATTTATTTATGTACTTCCCATTCGCAGGTTTGAACATAGCCCTCTTCTTTAGCATTCATTTGTTGTGGCTTTCCCTCTTTTTGGATAGTCTCGATTACAGTCAGGTGGAGAACTGTCAAGTTGATGAAAGCACGGGGTTCACAGATGACACCATGGCAAAAGCAAACGAGACAGAAGCTCACAGCCATGTTGAAAAGTGGAACAAAAGTGGAAAATGCTTAAAGATACATATTTATAACTAGATGAGCCAGACAAATCTCATTGTTGTCTGCACACCTCTCCAGTATTCATTGATGGTCAGTGCAGGGTGCACCTCAGGCAATAATATTGCAAATTACTGTACATCAGCGGCCTTTGTTAACACCCCCGAGTCACTCATCGGGTGGAACTTTGAGGCCTGTTTTCTCATTAATCTAATTTTCAAAGTGCCAAAATTCAAACGGCCACATTTTTTCCTCTAGGTGGTTGAAATCATTACAAAGCTTAGACTTCACACTTTCAGAATCTGTAAAGGTCTCTAAACGTCCGTGGGGAGTCTTACATAAAATTAAAATTTTCTGAGAAACTGAATTTTGGGTATTCATAAATTCTAAGTTGCAATAAAAATTAACATAAGTCAATTCCTACACTACTTCAGTTTGCATCAAAGGAATCCATATAGTATGAGTTTCATGTTTTGAATCAAGTTAGAGAAATGGATTACTTTCTGGTTTTATATTCTATTTGAGGGACTGGCCACAGATGTTAGGAAACATGCAATGCAGCATTTTATGATCATCTGCATGCAATTTAAGTTGCTTTCTTGCAAGAAATACTGGGAGAAAAGAAAAGATACTAACATGGAAAGAGTTGTATGTCAATGTACAAGATGCGCACAATATTAGTCAAGCTTGTTGGAGCTCATGCGTCACATTAGAAACCACTTATATGTCTCTTGGAGAGCAATAATCTGTGCAAGCAGCTCCCTGGAGGAATCACAGCAGCACAAAAAATAAAACATAAAAAATACTTTCCCTCCTGTCTCTTTCTTCTGCAGCGACTAAAACCTGGGTGGGTATCATTTTTAGTCATTGCCACAATGGAAAGGCCACACAGCTTTGTGTTTGTCTGCCCACGTTTCTTTGGCCTGTGTGTAAGTACAAGAGCAGGATGTGGCACACACACACACACGCACGCGTCTCTTGTGCTTGAGTGGGGAGCACGCCCGGTGAATGTGACTGAACAATGAGTTCAGCTGAATGAGAACTGGAGATACGACCTTGCTTATAACCCAGATAAACAAAGATGCAGATGAGCAGCCACAATGAAACAAAAGGCAGCAGAATAAGCAGTGTTACATCAGTGGCAGACAGAGAGGATAATTACAGCCACCCTCCTACTCCCTCTTTGCTTCTCAAACATCCTCCTCTCTTCTCAGAGCTTCCCCACTGTCGTCTTTTTGTCACTTATGCTCCCTCTCTCTGTGGCTCGCTTGCTTCAGTGATTTCTCCTCTTGTCTGTGCGTCTCCCCATTTTTGCCTGAGATTGTTTCCCCTCTCGAATTCTTAACTTTCGCCGTAATTGGATCAATTTTTGTTCGTCACCGGCACTGAGAAAAGTGTGGAAAATGATCAGTGTTTAGCTATAGGTGGAAGGTTCTCCCCTTCCGGATCCTGTTGTTATTTCTGCTCTCGCATTTGCAGACAGACGGCCACAAATGCACCCTGCCTTGTGCGTGCTCGCCGTTTGATAGGTGAGGATTTAATTGCTCAAGT